GTAGCCTTCTTGACTGCCCCAGTCTAAATGGCCTGTCCCTCCTCTGTGTCCCATAATACCCAGGATATAAGGCATTGCTTTGTCTTAGTACATATAGTTCCACCATTCTATAGGTATGTATTGAGAATTACAGGTGCTAAGTACCACGCCAGGCACGAGGAATACTGCAAGCAAACTGCCAAAACTCCCACACTCCTACTGTGTGTGTGTGTGTGTGTAGAAATCAATAAAACATGAATAAGATAATGATAAACGGTATAAAAATAAGTGATATTTGGAATCGAGAGGGCAGGGTAGCTACTTTTAGATGGGGTGGCCAGGGTATTTTACTGAGGTAGTGACATTGGGGCTGAGACCTGAATGAGAAGGAGTCAGTGTGGGGAAGATCTGGGCATTCCAGGCAGAAGGACTTACACGTACAGAAACCCTAAAGTGAAGGGTCCCTGTCTTAGCAGGCTCTACTTATGTCTCTCTTTACCTCTACATCTGTATATCTCATCCTTTTGGGGATCATGAAAACCCCTTTGAATGTTCAGAATCTGATAATAGCTCTGGCTCCTTGCTCCAGAAGAATGTACAAATGCAGTCACATGAATTTGCATACCAGTTCTCTAGTTCCTGAAGCCAGGGAATCTCAGAAGGATTCCCTGCCTGGACTGGGTTCACATTTACTGCAGGAACAATGTCTAATACTGATATCTAATAGTGCCTTTCTTCATTATCTCTTTGATCCCCTTGAAATTACCCAATGAGGTAAGTACAGGTATTATCGCCATTTGATAGATGAGACTAAGGCTCAGAGAGAGTGGGTTACTTGGCCAACATCACATAGCTAGTGAGTGACAGGGAGGAAACTTAAACTCAGGCAGTCTGAGGCTGAAGTGCCTAGACTGTATGCATGCCAAGGTTCTGCTAGTCAGTTTGGGGACTTGTTCTTGGCAAAGGCAGGGGAGGAGGAGCTGCTGGAAATTTCTGTGTAGGGGTTTAGAGATGTCAAAACCTGCTTGGTCTAGAAGACCGTTTGCTTTCCTTCTTTCTCTTTCTCTTCCTTGTCCTCCTCTTCTTTCTCCTTCTTCCTTTTTTGTGGAATGACAATGTTTGATTTTCTTTTAAAGAAGTTTTTCTGCCTTGAAAGAGTCTTATAAGTATAGAATTGGAAATATACTGTTTTCTCTGTGACAGCTCACAGTGAATGCAGTAGAGGCAGGTCAACTTCCCCAAAGGGAAACTGGCTTGGAATTTTCCTGTTGGCTTTAAAAAATTATTTATTTACCTTTTTTGGACCAGGTAATACAATCGCATGGTTCAAAAATCAAAAGGTACAAAAAGGAATATAGTGCAAATCTTCCTTGCTCCCCTGCCACCTGCCACCTGGTTCCCTTGCCTGTAGGCAACTGAGGTGTCCCAGTTTCTTGTGTCTCTTTCCAAAGATGTTTTAAGCAAATATATATGTGTGTGTGTGTGTGTGTGTGTGTGTGTGTGTGTGTATTTAATTTTATTTTATTAACCCTTGAGTTGCAGACACAACCTAAACTTCACCCTCTCTTTCTGTCTCTCTGGTCCCCATTCAGGCCTTGGAGATAGTGGAGGCCAAGGGTCTCCTGGGAGCTTTGGGCTTTCCTCAGAAGTTGGCCTTTCCAGGCCCATTTTCATGGCAGCCCCTCCTGCACACACTACTTTAGACTCTTTTCAAAGTCCTTCCATCTGTGCTAATTTATCAGGCATTCACAATAGCCCATGAAGTGCAAGAATTATTTGCCTCATTTTATGGGCAAGGAAACAGACCCAGAAAGGTCGAATAACTTGCTGAAAAGCACACAACTAATTAATGTTGTCGTGTGGTGAGGTCCTGGGAGCAGTGTGTGGCTTTGTCCAGCTTGGAATTTGGAAGTAATAAGAAAGTTGTTTACTCCAAAGTCACAGTTTAAAAATATTTTAGTGGCACTAGTGTGGGGCAGTGGAAAAAGTAAGGGAACTCAAAGTTCCAGCTGGGTTTGCTTCCTGGCTCTGCTACTTAAAACTTGGCAAGTTACTTCACAGTGTGCAGCCTTAGTTTGCTAATCTATGAAGTGGGGATGATAATACTCACCCAGCAGGGTGGATAGTGACCTAGTATAAATAAAAGCGATTTGTAAAATGGGGCATATTCTAATGCTTGCTTTGTATTATTATTATGGTTATTGTGGTTGGTCCTTGCTGGCACAAAGACAGCTGTTTCCTGAAAGGAAGACAGGCTAACACTGGGTACAAAGTTGCTCTGCCCTCTAACCTCCTTATCTAAAAAGACTCTCTGGCCCAGTGAATTGGAAATCAGGAACCATCCAGCCTGACTTCTTTTCCTTGCCAGCTCAGAAACATCTGGGTGGTTAGAACTGCCCCAGGATGTGAGCACACACTCTTTTCCTCAGTGGGTGTCTTGAATTCACCTTGATCTGTAACTTTATAATAGGAAAAATTTATTTTTCCTATTATCAAACTAGACTATTTTTACTAGAGAAATTTTGGAAAATATTGAAAAGTAAAAAGAACAAAAATGAAATCATCCTTTTACCTTCTTCCCTCACAGAAGCCCACCTTAGTCAGTACTTTGCTGTTTTCCTTTCAGTCTTTTTTCTCCTAGGTACTTATGATATCGCTTAGCAGAGAAATTCTTTTTCATTTGTTGGTTTTTTTTGTTGTTGTTGTTAATCCTCACCCGAGGATATTTGTTCCATTAATTTTTTTAGAGAGTGGAAGGGAGAGGGAGAGACAGAGAGAGAAACATTGATGTGAGTGAGACACATCTATTGGTTGCCAGGGAATCAAATCTGCAACCAAGGTACATATCCTTGACCTGAATCAAACCGAGACCCTTCAGTCCTCAGGCTGACTCTCTAACCACTGAGCCAAACCAGCTAGGGCAATTCTTTGTTTGTTTGTTTTTTTTTTTTTTTT